TGCGCTAATGACCAAACTGCTGATTAAGTCAGATAGTGGTGTTGGAACTACGGAAATAAAATGATGCAAAGAGCTTTGCCAAACTTAGGAGGTTTACATGAATGCATTTGACGTGAGTTAGAGGAGCAACAGTCAAAGAACATAGTGTGCAAAGTTTACATGTGATAGTTTGATGAGTCAGTTGCACTGACAAGTGATTTATTTTGAGTTCACCAAAAATACGTGGGGCTTGTTGGCTATTGCATAATAGAATCACAGATTATTGATTGAATAGGATAGAGGGTTTTCTTATTTTTATTTATTTAAAACTTATTTATACATGCGTGACATGTTAGGGTTGTTCTTTTACTAAATTTGTGTTCATTCTGCAGGTTATTGCGAGGAGGTTATTGGAATCAAAACAGACTACACCACATTTGTATTTATCTTCAGGTAGGAACTTTCACTAATTATCTACAGGTTTTAGTATCATTTAACCTTTGATCTTAAATGTTTGATTGTGTTCATCAGATGTTATACTGGATCCTCTTCTTTCTTTTAGGAAGGAACTTAAAGGTATTGAATAAATTCCTGTATCCTGAATATGATTTTTCACACCCACAGTTTGGATGACTGCTAATTGTTCTATTTTTTTCTCATATTGCAGAGAAGCATGATATTAAAGTCTCAGTTAATGACATTGTCATAAAAGCGGTGGCAATTGCTCTGAAAAATGTACCTGAAGCTAATGGTAAGACATAATTTCAATAAAATTGGTCCTCATAGATTTCTGAGTAAACATAATATAGGAGCCAAGCCAACACAACCTGCTAGTAAGAGCATGATCAATTGTAAAATGTAGATTGCTAGAGATGTTGGGTGATATTTTTCTCTTGGACTGGATTCCACTCTGTTTTGCTGCTGTAAAACATTGGGACTGGCATTACTTGTAAACTGATTTAAGCTGAAAAATGCTTTTCTCGGTGATTTTTGCATCTCTAGCAAAACTACATCATGAAGAAAATATTTTGGGTTTTTGATTCTTTTCTACCTTTATTTATTTCTTTATTGTTGATTCAATGGCTGGATTATTTATCGGAGGTAACCCTCTCCCATTCCTTTATTGACCCTACTTGCCTATTCTTGCTGAAACCAGAACTTCAACATTCCTTGACGAAGGAAGCCACAAGACTCTGTTGTCATTTTGTTTGCTATACAATTATACAGCAGTAGTTCAACAACTAGTTTGTAATTGCTGGTTTATAAATGGTTTTTAGCTTAATCTAACAAGTTAATTCTGGAGATTGTATTAAGGTTTTATAAACTATTTCTTCACTTAGATAGAATCTGAAGTTAAGTACTTACACTATTACTAGGTGGGTCTATGAGCCTCCTCGAACATCCAAGCAGAAAAAGTCTTATCTTATTTTGTGTTGATAATATATGGTTGCATTGAAGAAGTTCCAAAGGGAAGGGCACTAAGATTTCTAGTTTATCAAACATGTGTGTTGAGTGTACCTGCTATATATAAGAAATTTCCAGCAGCAGCTTACCTGTAATAAGTGTTTTTTTATGGTGGAAAATGATTACATAATTCCTTTTTCTTTAGTGACAAATTAGCTTTAATTCAAAGATTATGGATCTTTTGGCTTATTTCTAATTTTGCTATGTCGATGACTGCAGCTTATTGGGATATTGCAAAAGGGGAAATAATTTTGTGTGATTCTGTTGACATATCAATTGCAGTTGCTACTGAGAAGGTATGCTTCCAATAACAGGTTGTTCTCAGGTTCTATGGAGCAGCCCATTTCATATTATTTTATTTACATTGCAGGGTTTAATGACTCCAATTGTAAGGAATGCAGATCAGAAATCCATATCATCAATCTCCTCGGAGGTACTTTCATCTTCGACCTCTACCTTCTTTGAGTTTAACAACTTTGTTTGGCACCAATACTCTGTAATGCAAGTTTGTGCTTTCTCAGTTTTGGCTACTTTACACCAGATCATTAGGTTTGTTACCTACGTACATTGCCTTTTGACCTTGTTTAAATCTAGGGAAATAACAGAACACATACTGGGACCTGCTTGCAACGGTCTGGCTCTTTAAATGTGTTGACTAATCACAAACTCAGTATAGAGATAACTCAAGTTAAACTAGATCTTTAAAATAATCTGCTCTGTATCAGATGATTGTCAACAAGTTCAGAATTACATTTTAATCATCATTTTTTTGGTCTCTTTCTTTTCGGTTAAAATTTTAGTAATCATTAATTTGCATTCTGGGTTTGGTTTTATCATGCTTATCTCTCTTCAACTTGGCCGTCAGGTCAAGCAACTAGCTGAAAAGGCACGGGCTGGGAAGCTTTTACCAAACGAATTTCAAGGAGGAACTTTTAGGTATGTAATTTTATGATATGCGTATGGGATATTAGTTCTCCACCACTTCCCTTTTAATATGTGAAAGAAATATTGAGAAATTGTGTGTAATTTTTCTGCAGCATTTCAAATCTGGGAATGTTTCCTGTCGACCATTTTTGTGCAATTATAAATCCCCCACAGGTACCTCTCATCTCTCTCTCTCTCTCACTCTCTCTCTCTCTCACACACACACACATGCATGTACATACTCTCAGAATGTGCCCCATACTTGCACATGCATGTACATCTCTAATGTCAATGTGCCTGTACTGAACAAACATTAATGTAATGTCAGCTTTGCCCATCTATGTTTTGTTCAGGCCTCAAGAGTCAAAAGTAGCTGGTCTAACCACATTCTGTTACATAGTTAAAGCAATAAATGTGAAAAAGCATATTTCTGGGTTTTCCATTTTGTTGATAATACTCACTTTGAAAATAGTGGAGAACCACTCTTAATGTCTTTTGTCTTTGGACTTGTTCCTGAAGTCAATATGTTGAATATCCAACCACTGTAATAGATACAGCTATTAGAAAACGATCAGGACATTGCAAGGTGCTATAAATCTCTCTTATGTTTTTGTCAGGCTGGTATCCTTGCTGTTGGTAGAGGAAACAAATTTGTTGAACCAGTGGTTGGAAGTGATGGTAAAGTGTTTACCTATTGTGCACTATGCTTCAATATACTTAATGCTTTAAAATATGTTGCATTTCATATATTGAATTCCTGCACAGGGATTGAGAGGCCTGCAGTTGTGACAAAAATGAACTTAACGTTATCTGCTGATCACCGTGTATTTGACGGCAAAGTTGGAGGTATGCAGTGGTGCAAGTCTTTTTAATCACTGCTATAATTATGAAGTTTTTGACAGATGGTGAATATTAAAATAATTTCCGTAACCTGCAATTGTATTATCTGTGAAAGATACTGTTGTGTAAACTGCAAAAATAGAAGAGAATGAGAGTTTCATTCCTCACATGTCTAGCATCCTGGCGATAATATCATAAATAAGTTCATGAAAAATCATGGAGGGGACTGATATAAGTGAAGACATAACTGAACTGGCTCCTATTTTGGTTAATCTTTCCAAAAAATCTATGATCTTGAGTACATCTGCCTGGATTGCTGTAGTTATACCTTTCACCCTATCATAGAATACTATATACATCAGTATGTTACCTGCCTGAGATTTGAGCTATTTTTATTGCAGGTGCATTTTTTTCAGTATTACAATCTAATTTTAGTGATATTCGGAGGCTTCTTCTCTGATAACGTTTAGTCCTTGCAATTCTGAGAGATCAGCTGTTGGGGAGGGCGTCTTCCTTAAAGGTTGTTAATAATTCTTCATGATGATGATGTGTTGCTCCTGAATTTCCACTGCGGCAGCAAATTTATTGCGCAATCCTGGTTTCCAAATTTTGTCAATTCATTGGACTTGTTCACAGGCGGACAACCAAACTGATGTAAAATTTTGCATGATGTTAGGTTTACCATTGTCATCAGATTTTGATGCCTTCTTCAGGGCTTTTTCTGCAATTTCATGATTCCATCTGATAAAATAATGTGTGATTGATGGAAAAAATCAATAATGACTTTTGTCCGCATGTATGCATTTCCTTCCTCTCTTTTTGTGGTTTTAAGTGAGCTTCTGTTCACGTTCCTTTAATTTTTCTGTTTGACTTCTCCCAAAAGGCCAGATAACTTTCAACACATCTATCATACTGATGAAACATATAACCCTCCAAACCCAGCTATTGCAGGCTGCAGTTACCTCATCAATCCGTTTTCCAAATTAGCTGAACCTGGTTAACGATAAGACTAAAGGATATAAAAAACTTTGGAACATAAGTAAAAAATCATCCAAGTTTTGATTTTTTTTATTACAATCAAACAATTTTTTTAATATTTATTTGCATCTAATTAAGTTTTTATTTTGATGAAAAAAAATAACATTGCTAATTTTTTTGTCAATTAAAATAAAATTCTCAAATGATACACAATCATATGGTATCTAAGCTAAAAATTTTTATGTTTTAAGACATTGATATGAATTTGGATCTTTATGGTTCAACTAGTACCATAGTTCTTGATTCTAACTTTCTACGAAAATCAAGAGCGGGAAAAAAAAGTTAACTAATCATTGACTTAAACCTATCGTCGAAGTCTACTCAACGGAATAAGGGGTATGTCAGCTTTTTGGGCTATTTTTCTAGTGTGTGATTAAATATTTTAATAAAATAAATAAAAATTTAACATATGATGTAATTAATATATGTAAAAATTAAATAAAATAAATTAAAAAAATTTCCCCCCCTCCCTTAAATTCTTTTAAGAATTTAATTGAATATAATTTTGATATTGATTGATTCAATTTTATTACATAATTAAATTTTATTCAATTAAAAATTTAATTGAATCAAAATGATGATTAAATGCTCGATTAATTATAATAAAATATTAAAACTTTAAATAATTTTTTAATTATAATTCAAAGAGAATTTTTTACCTTTAGACTAACGATAAACTTAGATTGCACAAAAAATGATAGCTTTTGTAAATTTTGTTGGTTGTGTTAAAATTGTGCCTAGTTCTTTTAGGTATATTAAACAAGTAATGGCAGCAAGTCATAAGAATGCCCATAGAATTGGCCCATACATGTAACATTTCTCTTCACATGTTACATTGAGTTTAGGAAACATTTCTAAGGTCTCTCATTGCAGTAAATGGCTGAGAATGAAGGAGATCAAAACCAATCTCTTTCTAACTGCATATAGAACATAACACTTTAAATGAATGAAACCAAAATTGATCCTGAAAGAGCCAAACTTCTCTTTCTGTGATACTATGGTGCTCATACAGTCGTCTTCAATAAAGAAAAGTGATTATTCATACAATGAAAAAATCAGTAGGGTTAAAGCCATTGTGATATGCTTTCCCATAATCATCAAAATTTTGAATGTTTCAGAGATTTTGTTCAAAATTTAAAGAAAAATTTTTTTTTTTTATGAACACTGTCTATGCATTAGCATTTGACGATGCCTTAATAAATCAGAGCCATGTAGGTACCATAGGGGTTGAGTTGGGGGATGGCTAAGTTATGTAGGAGCTCAAAAGCAAAATAAATAAGATGAACACTGTTTACCAAATTCGTATATATCCGGTGTTAAGATTCTGAGGCAGGTCCTTTCACGGCAAGTGGCTCATACCACCGAGGGCCAAACCCTGCAGCTTTCCTTGCTTTCTCGTTAAAGGGTGGCTTCAATGGCCCCCTAAAGTGTGTCCTTACTATGGCATGGAATTTCTGAATCACTTCTTCACTTTCCTCCTCCACTGGAGTCTCACTTTCTTGTGATGCCAGGCTGTCTTGATATAAAGCTGGATTTCTGGATCTCAGACAAAGATACTTAAACCACTTTACTCCAGCAGCACAATGTGTAATCTCTTCTGGGTAAACTACCTTCTCCAGCAAATCAGCCGTGTCATCGTCACCTCCATTACGGAACCTAGAGATTGTTGTTGGCAGCACATCAAGTCCTCTTGCCTGCATTATTTTCCATTTCTTCATCAAAGTAAACATTGAACACAAAGTCTTTATGCAACTTACTGAGTGAATTAGTATAGATGTTGCATGGTTAGTGCATTCAATAATCACCCTCTTTTATTTCATTCAAGAGTTTCATAATCAAGATATATTCAAGAAATAAACACATTACATCTGTACTAAGCACTCAAAAAACTTGTTTTCAAATTAACGATAATGTTTCAAGTGCATTACTTTGCGCATTCTTCTTTCTTCCATTCACATGCTCCCATAGTCCATCACCTTAATGGACCAAGTCCTTACCTTTCCATCACATATCATGTAGACTAAAAGGATTTTCAACTAGAGATATTGTTACAAGAAAAACTCACACCATCTAATAGGATTATAGGAATGCCATTGTCAAGCAGGCCTTTTTCATTGAGTTCATAAATTATTATGGAAATAAGTGATTGTAATTTTCATTGATGTGATGTTATACCCAGCTTAACAGTATTAAGGCCTTAGTGCAATGCTTCTAACATAGAAGATGAGTATGGGAGAACCATGCACCTCATGGACGCAGTGCTCAATTGACAAACGTGCCAAAAGATCCTTGGATGTAGCAATTGCAGAGTCCCAAAGCCCATCATGAGCAGGTAATGCACCATAATAAGAGCCAAGTTCCTCGAGTCTAGCTGCAAGCAGGCTGAAGTGTCGACCTTCATCTTGAGCTACCTTCACAAAATCCGTGAAAAATTCTCTTGGCATTGCCTCTTGCTTACCAAAACGAGCAATTATATCCTGTATCAAATCAATACACAAAAATGAATGGATACCAGCACAAAATATTACTTCCTAAAAGATCAACACTTCAAAACTCAGAAGTTGCACTAACTCAAGTCATAACACAAAATTTACTTGTAAACACTCGCTATTTAAACCTGAGACCTTCAAAATTAGAAATCTCAAGTACCTTTGAAGTGTCAGATTCAAACCAACATGTTAAAGGCATTTTTAGTTCCAAAGGACAAAATGATCTTTTTTCCCTGTTAGAGACTACCAGTAGACAACCAAAGGCATTTATAACTTTTGGATGGACTTGACATGTACAGTACCACATCAGCTCGGCCATCTCAACAATCTATCCAAAAGGCCCTTTTTGTGCTGACTTGTCACTTCCTGAGTGGGTGATCCGAATCCAAATCCACTCGGCCTGCGAGGTCATTCTGATCACAGGACTGACAATAAACAGCTTAAACTACCCCAAAACCCCTCACCTTCAACTATAAATAGGACCATCCCGATATTATCCAGATCTCTCAATACTCTTCTACTTTTACACTTTATCCTTCCTATCCTCTCCTCCACCGACTTCTGACTTGAGCACGGAATGCATGCGCTGGGAAAACTCCAGCCTTTGGCTTTAACCTCTCTCTTTCTTTCCTTTACATTTTCAAGGTTTTGCTCCTCAACTCAGAACTTGGCACCATCACAACAATTAACTGAATCTTTAACAAAAACATTTAATTTGGAATTTTCAAAGGTATTATGAATGGATCCCATCTTCAAACTCAAAACCTCCAAAGCTTTCAAATTCTAACAGTTAGAATCAGTCAGAACGTCCGTCAAGCATGCATCACAAGAATCAATGAGTTCAGTACTGAAAAGGGTTGATTTGCTTCAACCCTAATTGTTTAAGAACAATGAGAGCAGCCCTCATCACAACCAAAACAACTAAAAAAGAGGGAAAGCGAAAAGTACCCAAGACAAGTCAATAGCCCAACTCTCGGTATGTACAAGACTATGCACGATGGCTTGCCTGCTGTGCAAGCTACCTGCTTTCCCAAGCTTTGGCATCAAACTTGGCGACACCAACTTAACCTAAAAACAAAATAAGAAGTTATCCTTTATTGAAGCGTTTTAATAACAGTTAACGTAAAGGAAGATGAGAACTGCATCTCCGTACGTTGGTGAGCCTGGCGGGGCGATCGGGCAGGGGAAGGTCCTGGAATGGATCGTAGGGACGGGTGATAATTCCTTGGAGCCATTTGGAGGCAACTGAGCCGCCGAGTCGGGCCTTCTCGAAGGGGTCCGCTGTGTTTAAAACACGAAGCGCCGCTTCTACTAGCGTCTCGTTTTCTTGCTCCCTTTGAACTGCATTCATCTCTCTAATCCTTTCAGAGGCTAATGACAGACTGCTGCCGCCCATATAGTGACACCTCCCGTCCTAGCCACAAATTTATTTCCGTGACAGGTAGCAGCCGGCTCTTCTTTCGAGTTAACTTAATAGCAACACTTGTTAAGATTAAAAAGCTATTTTTTTAAGAAATAATTTTTTAATTTATTTAATACATTATTTCTATCAACTTTTTAACAGAGATAATTTATTAATTAAAAACGTAATCTTCAACTTTCGGGTTTTAGTTTCATGCAATAATATCGCCCAGCTTTACGTTAAATTTATTTAATTATATCTTAATTAATTATTTTTATACAATATATAATATTTAATAATTATTATAATTTTTTATTATAAAAAATTCATCTTCATGTGTCAATAAACATTTTTTAAATTTTATAGTTGCAATTTTTTTTGTCTCTTTATCAAATAAAATACTCATTCTCTCCCTTTTTATTTGCTATTGTTTAATTTTGTCAAACAAGCTCCAATTTAATTTTTATTTTTTTATAATATAATCTAAAATTAAATTTTCAAAAAAGTATGTTTTCAAAAGTATAATATTCAAAATTTTTAATCTTATTTTTAAAATTTTATAACTATAATTTTACTAAAAATAATGATCAAAATTAAATTAAAAATTTTATAACTAGCATTGATTTATATTTTGTTTAATGGTAGCATAACAGTTTATCTTTCATTTGCATTATGAAATGTTTGCTATATAAACAAAAAAAGTTATCCAAACTTTTCAAAAGAAGATCTAGCCAAAAAAAAAAAAGTTATCACACCCTAATTAAATGGTTTAATATTTATTTGATTTGTTTACTTCATTTATTTTACTTATGTCATACATGCTCAAAATTATTTACCCTAATCTTATCACGTGCATGGAAAATTTTTGCATAATGCTTATGAGGTTCTATCGTACATATATAAGACCAAATAGTATCATATAGTTTTAACAGAAATTTCTTGGTTTAGTAATATGAAGCATGAAATGTTTGTCAAATATAACCATTTGTTACTTTTAAATATATTTGACAATTAAATTTAAATAAAAAGAAATTTTTATTAATAAAATGATAATTCGGGCTTGAATCTTAAAACTCGTATCCTACACCCAGTCTGAGTCAAAGCCCAATTTGCAGCGGATCTGACGAATATTTTGGCCCATGAACAAGTTCAGCCATCGTCAATAAGGCCTTACTTTTGCTGTGTTTTACTTTTCTTGTCTCGTTTTCACCCAGGTAAGCGCATGCCAGCTGTCTGAAGTAGCCAAGAAAAAAATAGAGAAGAAAAAGCAAAAGGGCGGGCAAAGAAATGAGCGGGTATCCAGTTCCCAGAGCCGAGTCGACTCACCACCGACTCTACGAGTTCGCTAAAACTGCCCTCATCAGGATCTTTGTCCACCCATATGCCACCGTCTCTCTCTCTCTTTCACAATCTAACTCCCTTACTTCCTACTTTCAAATGGGGTTTTTTTTTTTTTTATATTCATATTTAAACTTTTGGTTTTTAATATTTGAAGGTCTGTGACTTGTACTGCGGCGGAGGAGTCGATGCAGAGAAATGGGATGGAGCTCAAATCAGCCATTACATTGGAATCGGTATGGAATTTTCACAAATACCTTCACATCATTATTATATTATACTACTTATTATCTTATATGCTGGTGGTGGAATTTGATAATTTCATAGGCGGGTTTTAATTGATTGCCACTTGTCTATACTTTCTTATTTATTGCAATTAAATCCAATTGCGGGGTTTTAAAATTCCATTTTTCAATATTTAGGTTCATAGTTCTAAGATTTTTATATAGGAAATTGAATTCAAAACTTAAGAGTCATCTAGAGTCTATATGGCTTACTATTGAGTTAAATATAGTTATATTTATCTGTATTTTGATTGTTGATGGTAAATGTTAAAATGGATCATGGGTGTAAATTGCATATTTTGATGAATAGATTCATGTGACAAGGTTTTTTGCTTGTCCCAAGTAAATTTCAAATGTATGCACTACCCTGTAAGCCATTTAAGTCTTCAGTAACTTCTTGAATAGGAAATTGACACCGCAACTTAAAGGTAACAATAGGTTGATAGTGACTCATGTGGTTATATGCTTTTGTGTATTTGTGGTGATAGACGGTAAATGTTAAAAAACTTGGTGTTAATTACAGATGTTCTGTCATCTGGGATAAATGAAGTGAGGGAAGCATGGGAGAGTCAGCGGAAAAGTTTCACTGCTGAGTTCTTTGAGGCTAACCCTTGCATTGTGAGCTTCTTTTGCTACAACCCATTTGGTGAATATGCATATTGGTTTCTATGTGTGTATGAATATGTGGGTATGGAGCTATGGTTTTTTTTAGAAACAAGATGAGGTTTCTGTTTTCTTTTAGGATTTGGTTGAAATTGTTCTTGTCGGTGTTACAATTATTCTTACTTTTTTTTCTTTATCCTGAATGTGTTTCAGCAATCTTAGTGCAAATTCTGCTGCTATGCGTTTGCCAATGTAAACTGAGAACATATTCTTCCTCATCCTAATAGCAAATTATATGCATTTTGTTGGTAAAGATGGAAATGATGTTTCTGTGGTATTTTCTGCAGTAAAACTTGTTTATAATAGCATACTTGATCAAATCATTATTGTTGTGCTAAAAGCTGAATTTTTTTTATATTTTTGATCTTTGAATGATGTTATTGGTGCCGTGTAAGGCATTTATGTTTATATTTTGTTTCTGGATGGCATAAAAATATTCTCTAAGTTATTTATTTGTCAAAAGAAGAAACAAAAAAGCGCTGCTCAGCCTTATCTAATTTTTTAGTATTCTGTTAAAAAATTTTCAGTTTAGCCTTTTAGTTTTAAAAATGTTGATTCAACTCAATTTCTTTCCTCTTCTCCTGCCCTTGACTGCGTATTACTTTGACAGGATAATTTGGAAACCCAGTTGCAGGAGAAGGCCATTCAGGCTGATCTTGTCTGTTGCTTGCAGCATTTGCAGGTATTTTTTTATTTAGTTTAAGTTCTGAATATTAATTTTTGATTTGGCCTTGAGGACAAATATGATGAATCTGAAAGGCATTTCTATGCTTCTACTTGTAGTTAGGATTTGAAACTGAAGAGAAAGCAAGGAGACTTCTGAGTAATGTGTCATCTTTGTTAAAACCAGGGGGTTATTTTTTCGGTATTACTCCTGACTCATCTACCATATGGTATGAAATAGTGATTGTCAAATACTGATTTTTCTGGATTGATAATTTCCTTTTTCCTGTAGTTACTGCTGTCCCTGTTTCTGGGATTTGATGAGTTGCATAAACTTTTTATTGTGTTTACTTTCTCTCCATTTTGAAATTTCTCTTGTTACTGTCAAGTTGATTAATTAATATTATCCCAATCAATGAACTTAATTATGTTTAAGGGCTGACCAGAAATTGAACTTGTATAGGATAGACAATCCCAATTTTCAACAATTCATTGGTGTTAAAACAATTAATGTTCTGAGAAAAAATGAGATGTATCACACATGATACTTAATATTTCAGCATGCTCTTGCTCTCTCCTTGCACCCAAACGTGGGATACATGCATGCATGCATGATGATGAATTTGTAAGCTCATTGTTGGGATCTATATTCATTTTACCGGCTTGATATAAAAGCAAGAAATGTAAATAAGAATCTATACTGATGTCTGATGTGCTGGTGCAAGTTAGATTGCTTCTGAAATTTCTGGTGTTTCAGTAGTTGTGGAACATTCGGTTTCACCCAGAACTAAGCTTCTCACTTGAGCTGTATTCATAGAGAAGTTCTAGCTTATTTTATCATTTACCTTAGGGTCAGCAGCTGTGCTGCATCATAGATCCTTGTGGTCTTTTTTTGTGGCCATGGTCAGCCAATATCCTATTTGACAGTGGTTCTATCATCTTGAATGAAATTATTTAACTTCTTTCAGTTATACTCTTAGATTTTCATCTCATCTGTAGTATTGCTTAATGTGTCTTACTCTCCCATCTTTGGGGTGTGAGCTCCCTTTGTCACCTTGTGATCATTGCCATATATGCCACATGAGTTCTTGCCATAAAAGAGGTGGCATATGGAGCAAAGCATCATAAATTTGTTATTATCAATGCCCAGGGCAAAGTACCAGAAGAATGTTGAAGCATACCACAACAAAAGTAGCAGTATGAAGCCCAACATTGTTCCCAATTGCATTCGGTCTGAGAGTTACATGATCACCTTTGAAATTGAGGAAGAGAAGTATGTATGAATTTGAGATTCTTCTAAGTTTGGTTTTTCTTTATCATGTTTGGGTTATTTCATTGCTACATTTTTACATAATTCTATTGAATCCAGGTTTCCATTGTTTGGAAAGAAATACCAGTTGAAATTTTCTAGTGATGTCTCTGCTGAGACCCATTGCTTGGTTCATTTTCCAAGCTTAATCAGGTAAATTGTCCTATATTTATTGTGCCTTAAACATAACCATATTACTTTCTGGTGTGACTATTTTTGCTCTTTGATTTCTGGAACCTTGCATGGGAAGGTTAGCTTTGATTGCCCTTTTTCATTGACTTGCCATGATTCATATAATTTTACCTCCAAACTGCAGGTCAGCCTGATGATATATGTTGTAAATATGAGAGAAGTGAAAATTACAATCAACACCAGATTGCCAGTTGGCATCATTAATCTGTTACCATCTTTTGTTTCGTTTTATAAATATGTTAACCCTTGTATTTTGACTTTTATGTAATCCAACAATCAATGTCTAATCTGCTGTGCAACTCAGGTTGGCAAGAGAAGCTGGTCTTGAATATGTAGAGATTCAAAACTTAACTGAATTTTACGATGACAACAGGTAGGTGAAATTTGTATTTTAATTTTTATTATCATCAAAATTTTACATTGGGGCTCCAGCATTACTTAATTATGATCTTGTTCTTAACTATGAGGGCTGATTTTGTCATACTCTTTATCCTATTGTTGCACAGATCACAATTTGCAGGCATGATGATGAATGCTGGTCCAAATCTTCTGGATCCACGAGGAAGACTTCTTCCTCGATCTTATGATGTGTTAGGTGATTGCTTTGTCACCTCCTCTCTGGCTGCTTCAGCATTTCATACATGGGTTTCTTATTCATTTGCCGCTGGTTTCTTTTTGCAGGTCTCTATTCGACATTTATATTTCAAAAACCTGACCCAGATGTTATCCCCCCAATTGCAACCCCATTATTGCAGGACAGTAGTTATGACCATGATGAGGCAAGTATTTCTGACATTAATCTAGAAGAACGAGATGCATTTTTGTTTTTCCAAAGGCCCCAAGTTTAGTATTCTCATTTAATATATCTCGTTCACCCTATTTGGATTCGGAAATTGCTCTATTATCTTCATGGAGGAAAATTCCTATTTCTCTTATGACAAGCTTGTCAATAAGACTAGGGACCATGGCCATGCCTTTATTTTATGTGGCATTAAGCTTCATCTTATGAGATCTATGTTGCTGCGACTTTTTATTTTCTTTGAAGTACCCATGCCCGACACATATCAAGGGTATAAAGGTTTGATCCCTTAAATGTATGGAAAAACTTAGAAAAAAATATGAATGTATCCGTATAAGACATATATCCAGATTCAACAGACTCTCATAGTCCGAGTAACATAGTACAAGTTTCATGGATACTTGTTTGTATATTTACTGTATTTGCTTCCATGTTGCAGAGCGAGTGGCAGGGAGCTGGATGGAGAGAAGATGAGAAGAATGGACAAGCAGAGCAGCCACCTCCACCTCCACCTCCACCACCACCTTCTGGACTAGGCAAGATAAGTGAGCAGAAGGGGATTTTGGGTCCTGGCCCAGCAGAGTTGCGCTTCTCTGAAGCACTTTGACTTGGAAATAGCAGGAAATAGGAAACTAACCAGCGGTGCTTGGCCTTTAATGGAAGCATGAAATAATTTTATGGGTGCAATCCAATCTTGTATTTTTTTTTTTTTTTTAAACTTTTGAACCTGATAGATTTCTACTGTACCCTGCACACATATAAATTAAATTTAATAGGTGCATTTTATACTAACTTTACTCTTTATTTTTGTGTGGAGTTGTTTTTTCCACTACAATGGACCATTATGTTTCTACCATTGATTTTGTATTTAGAAGTAAGCAGATATAGATTGTGATATTCGAGCACCAGATTCTGTCAATGCATCGACAATGGAATTTTGTTCCTTTGGAATATTTTGAAAGATAAAAGCAAACTTTATCTTGAATTTGATTTGTTGCATATGAGTGGAGTACTTGTTCATATTAATTATGGACTATAGTAATCTCTCTCCAAAATGTTGGATATTGTGTTTATTTATTATTAATTTTAAAGGCTCCAGAAAAAAATAATTAATTAAAAATAATTTCAAAAATAAAATCAATAATCCAAATTTAAATGCTCATGCATGTTGATTCTGATTTTTTTTTTTAATTGACTTGGTATTTTTGGTTCAAATAAATTGGATTTTAAAGTAGACTTATTTTTAAAATGCACAACATCTGTAATTTTTTATAAAATATAAGTCATCCATGTTTGAAGTCGAATACTTATCTCTTTTCAATTTTTAATGCTAAATAAAAAATAAAAACAAAAAAAACACGCCCAGTGGGACTCGAACCCACAATCGCCTGATTAGAAGTCAGGCGCCTTATCCATTAGGCCATGGGCGCTTTTTGTTCTCTTTGTAAAAATTGATAATTAAGTAAATTGTTAACTTAATTCGTAGCTTTGTGAAATTTTTTGGTCCCTAAAGGAATTTGAAATTAAACTCTCAAAGTCTCACCTTACATCCTGTTGTTGAGTTCATTTTACCTTATTAATTTCTCATCATTAACTTGCTACCTCTTCTACTAGAAAATTTTTACCTCCTACCTTCATATTCAAAGTTTACAAGGGAGTAGCAAAAATTACACCAATTTAGAAGGGCAAACACCCTCATGGAATGCTAAATGAGGATCAACACATTTGACAATACATTTATTGAAAAAACTGTTTATTTCATGATAGCTATCATGTATGCTGCCGGAATAGAAGGTATGTCAGTATGTCCAAGCATAGTTCTTTATGTTATACATGTTTAAAACATGGACTTGGCAAACTGAAAACTTCTCATGAACATTAGATGCAAAATTAAATCTAAGCTTCAAGTTCAAGGATCTTCACGACTGATGCATCACCAAGCTTCTGGCAAACAACAACACGGTCATGTGGCTTAATAACACCTGAGGCCTTTCCATGATCTAAAGCAACCTTTAAGACTGATTCATTTGTGCCAGTTTTCGACTCTGCCTGCAAAACCAAGTATATGTTTGTTTTTCTAACTAGTAAAAGAAGCATTAAATCACTTCATGAGATTCATATGACTATTTTTGCTATATTTTGTTATTCCAGTTAACAGCATTTGAAGGAAATGTGACCCAATTATTGTGACACTGGAAATGGAAATACCCATAATTGTTTTTACCCTTCTCCAAAGAATGAAGAAGTGAGCATGACTCAAAAACTAGTATCTACCAAAAGTAAAGAAGTATTTAAAGCAGGGGTGTTATGGAAGAAAGGACGGGGATGGTGGATTCAAGGATTGTGGAGGGCCATATGCACATTGTATACCCAACCCAATGAAATAGCCTAGAAGAAAGAATTGTGGCTTTGTCATTTCAAATTCCAAATACTAAAGTTCTGCATCAACACGGTGCAAATCTAAAGCTCTTCAAACATGGCAGCATTTTTAGTGTAAAGAACAAATTAATTTCCTTCATTCTATGTTCTGAATTCTTTTGTGGACCAGCCCCAAGGGGACATTCAGGACATAGGATAAAATAAAGGGCAGCTTGGTGTGTAAAGCTCCCACTATGCGTGGGGTCCAGGGAAGGGTCAGACCCATTGGGTCTAGGCTGCATACACTAGACCCAGTGGGTCCCGACCCTTCTCCAGACCTGCACATAGCCGGAGCTTTATGCACCAGGCTGCCTTTTTTTTAATCCTATGTTCTGAATGTCCCCCAAGGGCTGGTCCATCAGAGGCGTGAACACTGAATAGGCTGATGGATTAAAGGTTCAATTTTTCAGACAGGGTGAGTCTCAAGAGAATTAACTATATTCTGACTCTGAGCAATGGTGGATAAATGAAGCATCAGAATATCAAAACAATGGAGGAGTGAATTCAGAACCAGTAAAACACAGGCTATTGGAGTGTTGTTCAATGTTCTGTGTAGCTAATCAAATCTTATTTCGTCTTTACCATTTCCCTCTATAGATAGGGAACATCTCTAACAAGCATCAAATAAATCTTACCGGATGTCGAGGGTCTGCCAGCATGGGGAAAAGGCCTCTGACAATAAGGGATTGCCTTGCCTGCCACAATCATCCAAAGAAAAGAAAAACTGATGAAGAGTCTTAATTTCAAGTTTTCAACTAAATAAGCAGCTATATTAGAGTGGAATTACAATAAGACTATTCAAAATAAAAATACTCAGCTAATCAGCAAAAGAAAGATGAAAAACAGCATGTAGAGTGTTATATTCAATTAACAAAAAGAAAACCAACTGCTTCAAAGAAACCATGCATTTTAGAAAATTTTTGGGTTGTTTACTTGTTTTCTTTTCTTTTTCAGAACAATGGTTGGATATAGGTGTCAAATACTTGGAAAGTAATTTTGCAAATAGCTTGAAGAGTGTTGCATTCTTTAATGGATTTATTGTAAAAGCATTATGCAATGCAGTATGGTAATAAGTATCTAGAAGGTCAGAGACAAAGAAATTTTTCTTAGAACTCCTCTGCACCTAATTAAAAGCATTAAAATATCAACAGACTCATCCACATGGAACCCATGAAAAATCTCATCAGTAGTATACCTCAAAAGCACCGGAGAAAGTCCAATGTAGTTGATTTGTCTTTAGCCGAGGGATGACAACAGATATCACAGGCAGGGTTGGCCTGTACTTTGCAATCAGCCTGCAATAGTACGTAATTGTTTGAAGTTACAATTAACCATGAATCAGATATCACAAAAGTACAAACATAATATTTGCACACCATGCAGGAAGATCAATATGCAAATTAGGGAATGGGTGCTGAGGAACAAAAGGATTAACATCAATCAAAAGCATTTGCATTAATTATAAGATAACAACAACAGACATTGTCATAGCCTCATGCTCACACACACACAAACCAATGCAGAGACAAAATACTAAACAAAACCTTGCAGCTCTTCCGGTTGAAGTGAAGCAAATAATTGCGGAGGCTTTCACCTTAATAGCTGCACGTACCTGTGGTACATTAAAGTCAATTATACTTCTAAGGGAACTTGGGAATTTGACTTCCAAACAAACTTCAGTCAGGAAACAAATTTTACAAGGCAATAATCAGTAAAATGCAAATGATTGGAAAGACAGAAATGAAACAGTTTAAAGGAGGAAGCATCAAAAGTGAGTACAGCTGAGGAAGCAATGGATTCCAGATGACTCATTGGTTCCCCAACATATTTGACAGTTTTCTTGAAATATAGGTCTTGATTGAATACTTTTTCCGCCTGCAGAAAGCAATTTAATTAAATAAGCATAGCAAGTTGGCAACATAATGGAATAATCTACTAAAATATCACAGCAACAAACATAGAAGTAATAATTTTGCTTTGTAATATTTATACTAAGGAACTTGCATTATCTATATCACTCAAATCCACCCAGATCCCATAAAGCATTGTTCTTTTCCTTTCTTCTTTTTGTTTAATAGCTTGAGCACTTGTAGGGGTCATGTTCATTACAACGGTCAGCATTGAGCTGATAGGAGTATGAATTCAAACCCTCACATTCTTACGTATACTTATGAGAAGACCAATAAACTGAGTTAGCCAGATAGATTGAACATTCATATAACATGTAAGAAACCTTTCTATAATCTGAGCCATACTGTTAGGACAGTGCTTAGATGAAAGAGATGAATATAGACAAGGGCAAATTCAACAGACAAAATATGTTCTTCCAACAAAGGTTAGGATGGTAGAAACAAGCAAAAACATCCACATTGGTGGTAAACTCACCTCTGCACAAATTTTTCCAACTGTAGAAACAGTCTCAACGGGGTATAGTCCCCGCAAGGTCTCTGCACCTAGAATTATTGCGTCACTCCCTGAATCAACCAGGTAGACAGAAAAATAAGATTCCAATTGATGCCTACTCTACATAAATCCATATCAGAATTCAGAAGTCATTTATGAAACAAGGCTTGAGGAGATAAGGAAATAGCAATAATATAATTAAGAAATTCAACCAAATTCACAAACAGTCACAGAAAAGAGAAAAAAAAAAAAGAATTGTGTAAGAGAACTACAATTCACCGTCCAACACAGCATTTGCAACATCAGTTGCTTCAGCACGAGTAGGTCTTAGGTTGTCTGTCATACTGTCCACAACACGATTGACCACTGCAGGCTTTCCAACCATGTTGCACTTGTAAATAGCAGCTTTTTGAAACAGAAACACCTATGAACTCCAAATGGAATGATACCAAAAGATACTAGTTAACTTGCAGGTGCTTACATAGTCCCATAAATTAAAACAATGAAATATCCATTTCCTGATTACTGTAAATGTCTCCATTACTTGGATAGCAGTCTTATGGAGAATCCTCTTCAGATGTTGGGATGCAATGTCTTTCCTACAATTTACTAGCTTATATCTGACTAAAAAATCAGATGGGTGAATATATGCTTGCACTTAAGTAGTGACATCGGACAAATGAAAAACAGACTTGATACCTCCTAGCTATCAATAACACCATTAAGGCTTTTAACTAATGAGGATATAGTATCCAATATTTGTACTATTTGCACTTTTTGTATACTCTGCTCCTTGACATTTTATAAGATAGTTTGCAAGCAAAGAACGCATATAAATCCATGACCTAGATGGTCACACCCTGATAAATACTATTGTGATCAGAAACAAAAGCTAACCTTCTCTGTTGGGAGATCTATCCCCAAATTTCCTCGAGAAAGAATGATTCCATCTGCTTCTTGTAAGATCTCATCAAAATGTGTTAATCCCTACAAGAAGTTGATAAAAGACAAGGTTCGATTTCAAAATCAAATCATGTCTCGAGTATAAATCAAACGAGTGTTAAAAGCTGCCCGATTATACATCTGACCTCAATATTTTCGATCTTTGCAAAAATTTGAGTCCGGTTGAGCTCACCCAGTTTAGAAAGAAAAGCACGAGCCTGCACACAGCAATGTTGGAAGTGAAGGGGGAATTGAAAAGAAATTATTTCACACCAGCAACATTAAGATTTTAAGGAAGTCAGGATGATGGAGATGCAAATGGAGAAGCTGAAATAATGAAAAATATGAACTTCAAGCAGGAAATTTCTTACATGACGAATATCTTCTGCATGTCGGGTATAAGACAAAGAAAGGAAGTCTATGTTGTTTCGAACACCCCATGTGCTTATAACCTGATATTAGAACATTGTGAATGCATTTAACAAAAATCTCAACATGTACCTACAAAGCAGAAATATCATGCTGATCTTCTTCTTTTTTTTTTTTTTGTAGTTGCATCAAAACAATCTTGTGGAGACAAAATGTTCATCATCTATCTAAAGTGAGTTTGTTTTGCAACTTAAGTGAAGTACAGGATAAGCATTTATTAATAATGCTACATTATCTAGGCCCATCATAAAAATGGATGCTACAAAAGATGGAATTCACAGCCAGAAGGATGACTTCAAGCAAAAAGATACACGGATATCATTTCCATTGGAGGTTCTCCTTGGGCAACATTTCAAGTGTAATAAACACAATCTCTCCAACAAAAATAATGGATTAATTCATCAGATAATTTAAACAAGCATTTGATAGAAATAGGAAACTTACCTCCTTATCCTTATCTGTTAAAGTGGGCATATCAATACGAATTTGAGAGACATGCAAGGTATACAATGGCCCAGACAAGGTAGCAGAATTCTTGATTAGGCAAACCACATCTTCACCACTCAACTCAGCAACCTGGATCATGGGAAACACACTGCATTAATAGCCTTTAACTTTCGATACCCCTCCCACTTCCCATCCCCTAGGCAATATACTTTTCATTATTTCTAACTGGCTTTTTGGTATAAGATCAACCTTACTTCAAATAGAAGAATAATTAGCAAGCAGATTAACCTGTGTCCTGCTTCAATAAAGTGTAAATAGCCAAGACATATGCCCAACATGGGATGTAAGTCAATATTCTGTCGGGTCAAAATGAGCCCAATAAGCCCATCCCTTTAACATTCCCTTACCTCTAACCACACGGAAGTAGTTTCATTTCCTGTAAACAGGTATTGGCCAATAAAGATAGTATCTCCCTTCTTGACTGCCTGAAAGGACCAAAAAAAACTTCAAAAATGAGAACAGAGTCGACTAGAATGGAAGGATTACTACCTTCTTTCTTATCATGATAAAATTTGGAGGAAGAGAGGATACAGAGAGAGAAACCAGAAGACAAAGACAAACTATTTGGAGATAATAAAGCCCCCACCACAATACAAATCCAAAAGGAAAATCACCTTCATGTGAAGTGATTAAAGAAATTCAGTTAACTGGTATCTGAAAAATGGATATAATGAACAAGAACATCCCCTTTATTAACATATAACCTGCAAGGACAAGAATTACGTGTACATGGAAATTTAAAGAATGCCACAGGACACCAAAGAGTTCACCCAAATGCTTTTTTTCCATTTACAGCCTCTTCACAAAAGATTCTTCACCTGGGCAAACCATTATGTTAAACTAGGTCCTATACATTTGAAACTTAAAACCAGTCAATTATTCGCTTCAAATATAATTTTATCTAGATTATTTAGCAGCAAATGAAGATTCTAAGAAAAGTGCCAAACCAAAACCATTCCTAATAATAAAATGTAAAAAAAACTAATGCAGAACAAATGCACAAGTTTTAGTTGAAAACTCCTTCAATCTATTGTAAGACATTGAAGTAAATGAAGATATGAGATGCAAAAGTGAGATAAATATCAGACTACAGACAGTCCATGAAAAATTACAGATCCCATTAAAAAATTGGTCACCTTAGACAGCCCATGAAAATTTATTGGTAGAAGATTAGAAGTAGCTTGTTTATCTTGATCTGGGGTGAGGATGACTTTTGTATCTGCCTCAAGGGAAATGGGTTGCTCCGTTTTGTTAACTACTTGCAATTCTGGACCTCCTGTGTCAAGCATAATCTGAAATAATAGACCAATATTGTAAGACTTACATTTCTGAAATCTACCAAGTAAAACAAAAAGAAGATCTCATTAAGGCTTGGATAAACCACCGTGTACACATATCAGGTAAAGGACCTTAATGGAGTAAAATAACAGTATGAATAATGAAGGAAACTAAGGTAAAAAGGAGGCTTACAGCACAGAGCTTCTTAGTACTCTTAACAGCTATCTTCAGATTTTCCAATGTCTGTTGGTGAAATTCACTATCACCCCATGAAAAATCGAACCTCGCCACTAAATAAAACAAATCACAATCACCTCAAAAGCACATGAAATCATATTCCACTAGCAAAACAAATAAACACATTACAAATGCATTGTTTCATTCGTCTCTATGAACAGACATGATTGCATCTAGAAATTAATCAATGCACTATAGCTGAAATAGAAAACTAACTTTAACCGACTTCCCATGAACAAAAATACAGTTGAAAGGACTGAGATTTGATATAATGTTTGTCATCCACAGCCTAAGCAAACAAACCAATGTAAAACTAAAATTGCATTCTCAGACTATAATCACAAAAACTAACGTTACAAAAAAGGACATACCAGACATTCCAGACTTAAGACAGCCGGAAATTATTTCAACAGATCTCGACTTTGGACCGAGTGTCCCTACAATTTTCGTCATTGCAGGAAAGAAACTCTGCAAGTCACATTCAAACCAAAAATTAGTAATGTCATCCAAATTCTTCCAAAGATTTAAAAAAAAAAAGGAAATTTTCCACTATTTATAGCAAAGTATTGTTAGCCTTGATCTTTTTTGTTCTTTGAAAACCCATTTGGCCAGATAATTTCAATACACTCTACACAAAAAAGATTTTTGTTTTTTTTTTTTTCTTTTAAATTTCTTCTTTTGATTTCTCTTCATTTTACTCAGCACCCAAAATTAGAAGATCGATGAACACCAAAAACAAAACTTTAAAAGAAAAAGAAAAGCTTTTAACATAAACAAAAAAATTTCGGGGTTTTCAGCAAGCAAAAAGACAAAACTTACGGGCTTAGGTGGCTCGAGAATGGAAGACATTCTTATGGGCTCTTCGAGAAGCAAGTGATTTGAATTCATTTTTTTCCTTGAAAAATTATATTCAACAAAAAGAACACCAAGAAGAAAGTGAAGAAGAAAGCAAAAGCAAGAAACTGAAGAGAGTGAAGGAGACTTTTAGTTTTTTCTTTTTGAATTCAGATTTCAGAGAGATTGAGTGACTTTTAGTTTCTTTTTCTCTTTCTACTTTTCCTTTGTCACCTTTTTATTACATGACAGAAAGTGACAATTTTTTTTATGAAATTTGAAAATTTTTCGTAGATTTAATGTTTTTACGCGGCGAAATAACGCTGCATAAAAATTCCATGTGTCGAAGATAGCTCTAATATTTCCAACGTTTGATCTTGGATTTTGCTTGGATTCAGCCGACGAACCCTCCATAATTCAATAAAAAAGAGAAAATTCCCTATCATGCTTACTATATATAAACATCATCCGCCAAAAGAAAACAAGTGTATGAAGGTGACAAAAAGGAATAAAAAAAAAATTTATTGAAGGGTTTGGGGATTTTTGGCCAAAAAAAAAAAAGTGAAGGGCTCATAATGTGCTTCTCAAGCTTTTTCAAACTTTCTTTTTTAAAGTTTAGGAGTTAAAACATAAAAAGCATGGTGAGGGTGGATATTTGTTGTAGATTATCAAAAATAATATATTTATACATAATAACTTAAATAAATAAAAATATAGTAATATAAATATAAGTTATAATTTTTTATTATAATAAAAATAACTTTTCCAAATGAATATTTTAATAACAAAAAATTAATATATTTTTTCGATATCACATATATTAATATATAAAAATTAATGTGATGAATAATTCTTAAATTATAATAAATTTTTAATGTAATATTTAAATTTTAAAATTGTTAATATGATATTTGAATTATAAATTTATTAATTAATATAATATTTATTTTTAATATAATTAATTTCACATAATAACATATAATAAATAAATAATCATTTAAATACTGTATTACATAATGCAAATATGTAATAGATTTACGAGATAATCTTATAATTTTTTATTTATTATTATAACACACCTTTATAACAAAAATAACCCAACACAAAGTTAGAAGAACATACTTTTAAAAAGAACTTCAGAATAATTTCTTTTTCACTTAAAATTAGTCAAGTTTATTCTTAAAATAATTTAATGAAGATTAATTTTTAATTAAAATTAAGAAATTAAGATATAAATAACAATTATTAAGATAAAGATAACAGATTCAATTAATTTGTTAATATTAATTGAAAAAATAAGGCCTAAATATAAAAAATTCCTAAACTAGATTTAAATAATCGTCTAAACTTTTATCTTTTAATTATAATTAATTGAACTCTCAAATATTTATTTTTATTTAATTAAACTTTTAAATATTTATTATCATCAAATTAAGTCATTGATTGTAAAGACTTTTAATCAATTTTTGTTAAATTGATGATTCAATTAAATGAAAATAAGTTTTTGAGAGTTCAATTGATTATGATAAAATGATAAGAATTTAAATAATTATTTTATTTTAATTCAAATAATTTTTTATATTTAAATAAAAAAATAATCTTACAATGATCTAATTAACACCGTTGGACAAATGTGTTAATTGGTAATTGTTGTCTTGGTAACTTTTTAATTGCTTAAATTCATAGCACTAAATTCATATCCAAGTCTTCAAATTCAAGTCCAAGTCTTGGCTCAAATCGGAATTGGGCCTAGGGGCTCGATGTGAGAGTGAGAAACCCGACATGGCATGCCTGAGCAAACTCAAACCTTCTCCTGCTCTCAAGTCAACCTTAATACAATGTTTTTTTAAGTACTTAATCTATTTTAAAACTTCCTTAGAATATTATATATATAATTAAAAAAAAATTATGCATTTAAATTATTTTAAATTTAAAATTTTTAAATATTAATTTCAATCATATGTCAACTGATTTAAAGAATAATCGATAATCATAATACATGAGTTTGATCTAATAAAAATATGTATACCGCATGTAATTTTCACTTGTCATCAAACTTTTGTTTATGATGTTATTTTAGTTTAATTCTGATAAAATTTTATTTTTTATCATTTAAATTACATCTTAATTATTTTAAAATATATTATATTAATCTCTTCATTAATATTTTTTATCCATTAAATTGATACGAATTATATTCACATCACTAACTAGGGCTTCTTATAAATTTGGTGTAAGGCCCAATTTCCTTGGTAGCGTGGGTCTAATAAGTGATAACAATGCTGCTCTAGTAAGTTCCTTTTGGTACTAGAAATCTAACCGGATATTTGAGAATAGCACCCAATTGGCTATACAATTACGACTCATAAATTTCTTTGACCCTCCCTGCCTGGCTGCAAGGTACAATCCCCACGCTATTCCAACGACATCGATTTAGACAGGTACAAAACAAATTTCGTGAGTATTTTATTTTCATCTGTCATTCAACGACAACAAGACAGCAATTAATCTACGACGTACCAATCTAAGGGATAGCTGGTGTTTTTATGCTACTACAATATATTTAGATGAGTTCGGCGTCTAAGATTTTTTCCTTTTTTTTTTTTTTAATTTGACAGCTTTAATCATTCATTCAAGAGGATATTGGTACTAACTGTTGTTCATAACATGAAATGAGTGATATGTGACATTTTTTTTTTCAACATGTGGACTTATTTGAGTAAAAATCATAAAATTGACGATTAAAATTGAAATGGTTTAGGGATTTAATTTATATTTTCGTTTTTTTGGATTATATTATGTAAAAATTTACAATTTTAATTAATCAATTCTACAGATATTTAATCATTGTTCTTCTCCTAGGCAGATTCGTTATATTGTTTGGCAGTGACCTCCGGAGGGTGTTGTCAAACTAAATGTGGATGCCGCAGCCAAAGCGAATCTAGATCTAGAAGCTAACGTAGGGATAGTAAAGGTAGTTGGCTATTTGGTTTCACTAGGAGATTGGACGGGGCCCCTATTATTAAAGCCGAAATTATTGCTGTCTGGGTTGGTAGTTGGAATTTTTTAGCTGAAGGAATATCATTATTGTATCTAATTTAATGTTAGCTTTTCAAAAGATCTGTCAGCTACTAAACGACAATGACCCGCTCTATCAAGTGATTCATGAGTGCCAAAGTTTGATGAGTAAGGGATTGGAATTGTTCTTTCAAACAAGTGTATAGAGAAGTCAATTTCTATGTTGGTTTTTAGCTAGCTTGGCTTAGGACAAATAATTTGGAATTCAGTTGCTTCATTCTCCTCCAGATGGTTTACTTAAGTTTTTACAAGATGATCTTATAAATTTGTCCAAACCACGAGCCTATGCAGTGTAAAAGTCCGTAACCGCTCTTTCGTACCAAATATATACATATATATATTAATTAACAAATTAAACAAATTAATAAAATCAATAATGAAATTGAACAAACTTATGGATATGACAAGAATCAAACATGAGGGTTAAAGATAAGATGATAGAATCTCTTCAGACAGCACTTAATAATCATCATGCATGGAGATTCTTCTAATTACTTAGTGTGCTGAGTAAATTTGTCACTGAAAAACTGTTTATAAAGTGGCAAATTTTCTGTATTGACACTCCTAATCCCATTCAATTAGCTCATCAGCCCACCGTTGCTTCCTCTGACTGGAATTATAAAATGACGACTATAATTGTCTGTTTATGCCAGCTTTTCACGTCTTACTTTCCTCCTCGTGCTACAAACAAGTAGTCAAACATGTCTCTATTCCTGTTCAATTGGGATATATCAGGTTAAATGGGGATAGCTTCAATGAGTTAATACCAAAATAAAGCCAAGAAGTAGTTTCAGAATTGGCTTCTGAATCTGGACTTTAAGGGGTAGCTTGAGTTTAAGCTTGAAAAAAGTTGTCAGAAGGTGCATGTGTAATTCCAATAATAGGTGATTGCTTACCTGCTGTTTTGTTTGAAAATTTTGAAGTTCTTTGTTTTATACATTTGTTGGAATGAACTTTGACTATTTTTTCACACAAACTAATTATATACACGTTTATTTGTTTACTTTGTCTCTATAGGAACTCTGAATTTGTCGTATACTATATGTGAAGGATCTGAGACAAGTTTGGTTTCCTGTTCATGAGGATCCCTTTGTTTTCTGTAGTTTGAAGTGCATACAGCAGTAGTCGTTGGAACTTTTTCCTCCTGGTTAATCTATTTCTGATAAGTGCTTGTTAGATTTTATTTATTTATTTATTTTGGTTAAGAAGTGCTTATTAGAATCTGTTTTGCTGCCAGAAATATTGAGATTCCGTGTCAAGTTTCACAGCAAAGTTTGGCAATGGGATTTCTGGATCTGTTTGTTGTGGCAGTGATGCCAGTTCTAGAAGTATTATTGGTAGCCGGTGTTGGCTTGTTTTTTGCTATGGATCGCATAAATCTCTTGGGGCCAGAGGCAAGGAACTACTTGAACAAAGTAAGTAAATACATCCCACCATCCGCAATATAATGTTGAAAAAACTTTTATATCAGTAAACAATATAAATGCCTAAAATGGCTAGAGTCTGGACGGACGTTGCTTCAATGCCTAATCATTTATTTGATTATCAGTTGCCTAAAATAGCAATATAGTATAACAATAGATTTTGACAGTGGCAGATCTATGATATTTTTTTGGAGATGTCCACTCATAACATATACAAAAAAAGTACATCGGATTTATCAATGTTTGTCATTTGCATTCGATTAATACATATAGTTACTACCATCCTTGAGGACTTCTATGAGTTGAGATATATTACCAATTCTATGCTTCTGATATGCAGATTGTATTCTATCTGTTTGCTCCTTCCCTTGTATTCAGCAACTTGGCAGAGACTATCACTTTCCAAAGTTTGGTTACTTTGTCAGTTCGAGTCCATACTTACTCTGTTTCTGCTGGTTTTTACTTGCTTTTTTCCAATCTCTGTCAAAATCATCTGCTGCTTATTCATTCTGTTTTTCATTTCTTCTAGGTGGTTCATGCCAGTGAATATTTTTCTAACATTCATTATTGGCTCAGTACTTGGTTGGATTCTAATAAAAATCACTAAAACTCCTGAACACATTCGAGGAATTGTCATCGGTTGTTGTTCTGCAGGTTTTATTTCCTTCCAAAGTTTCCTATTTCAAATTTCCCTTCCATTATAAAACATGTTACTTCAGTTTTCATCATGTGTTGGGAAATGTAACGTGCGTAGGAAACTTGGGAAACTTGCTTCTCATTATAGTTCCAGCTGTATGTGATGAGTCGAATAATCCATTTGGAGAATCTTGCTCTACATATGCTGAGACTTACGCTTCACTGTCTATGGCGGTATGGTCTTTGATTCTGATATTCATTTGAAAAGTATTTTAGTAGGCTTTATAAGAACAAAGTCATGTCTGATTTTTTTTTCTTTTTTTTTTTGGTACATTGCATATACAGATAGGAGCCATTTTTATATGGTCATACACATATCCTTTAGTGGGTGCTTATGCTAGTGAGAACATGGACCATAGCTCTTCTATCACCATCAACTCTTCCGAAGGGGCACCTGAAACATTTTCAAAAAGCAGCACGGAAGCACTACTACCTTCAAGGGATTGCAATGATTCCGAAGATTATTCAGGGCAAGGTGAACTGCCTCTAACCAACTCTGACGAGAGAACAAAGGTTTTTCCTGTTTCTGTTTTCGTATTTAGTAGTAGTCTTTATTCTGAGATTTCTTTTATTATCTAATTGAATTTTTGGTGATGCTATAGTAACTGCCATCATACTTTTCTTCCATCCCTTCAATGACAATCTTAACATTTTTGAGTAGGTGCCAATTGTGAAGAAGACTGTTCAGCGCATCAAAATTATTATGAGGAAGATCGACCTGAAAAAGGCGTTTGCACCATCAGCCATTGCAGCGGTATGCACCATGGTTACAACATCTGCTGCATTTGTTTCCCTGCACATTAATCTCCCAATATTAATTTTCTTTATCCCTTTCCGCTTTCAGGTTGTCGGGTTTATCGTCGGGACAATCACACCAATCAGAAAAGTACTAATTGGTGATAGTGCTCCTCTTCATGTAATTGATAATTCTGCATCTTTAATGGGGTATGTTCCATTCCAAATCTCTTTTGAATTTTGATGCATTGACCTTTATCTTTTCCACTAAAAAAGATTTTATATATGTAATTGGCTTGCAGGGAGGCAGGCATTCCATGTTTGACCTTGATAATGGGGGCAAACCTTCTCAAAGGTGACGAAAAACAGAAACATTTGAGCAGATAAAGACTACATATATAAAACTATCTAATAAACAATCTTGTTCTTGCAGGTCTGAAAAGATCAGAGGTGAGCCTGTGGGTAATTATAGGGATTATTGCAGTGAGGAACATATTCTTGCCTCTACTTGGGATTGGTGTTGTGAAAGCTGCATACCTTTTCGGCTTGGTTGGATCAGATTCCTTGTATCAATTTGTTCTTATGCTTCAGTATGCTGTTCCATCGGCAATGAGTGTAGGTACGATGAACAACTACCATAAGATTTACTGTCCTGACCCCCTTCATTCACTCTTGACCAGCTATGGTTGAACCGCTTTAAATTATAGTCAAATTTACATCACCTTGAACCCGAACTTACCCCAGTTAGCTCGTACAGTTATCTTAATATATGACATCTAACAGCTAATAGGTTTAAATATCAAATCTCAATATCTGGAATTCCTTCTCATATCTTAGTTCACGCTCCCAAAAGAATCCTTAATCAAATATGTTTTTTATTGAACTCTAAAATATGTCATAAAATGAAAATATTGGGCTGCCTGTTGGGAGCATAATTAATCTTGGTTAATTGGTTTGAGGATATTTTGTTAAGTCTAACGAGCTTTCGTAGGTACAATGACGCAATTATTTCAGCGTGGTCAGGTTGAAACCTCTGTGATTATGCTATGGAGTTACGCTGTATCTTCAATCTCCCTCACTCTTTGGTCAACATTATTCATGTGGCTTCTGCCTTGATTTGTTGTTCAAATTCATTTTGTCTCCAGCTTTAGTAAAAAATCATGCCACCGTAAAAGTTCCATGAAGGTCAAAGCATTTACGAAGAGATTTTCTACAGAGCTCCAGACAATTTTTTTGTCTATCGACCTGACAAGGTTGTTTAATAACGTTGACGTGGAAACCTATGTAGACGAAAACATGTCGTTTATTGCAAGACCAAAAAAAAAAGAGATACATTTCTTAATTTACGTTTTTAAAGATCTTTTATTAGCTAAAGCCAAATAAAGCAATGCAGAAGGCCAAAGTTGCCTTCTTTGCAAACATTAACATGGTTTAGACTTTTTTTTTTATACTTTTATTATTTGTTTTCTGTTATTTATTTTTTACTTTTTGAAAAGCTTCTAATATAAAAAAAAAGGAGAAAGAATAATATATTATAATTAATTCAAAGCGGGAAAATTATTAAAATGTGACATTAACAATTATAATAATAATATAATCATGCATTTTGTCATAAAAAATTATATATTTCATGAATAATTTTTCAAAAAATTTCCTTCAATGATAAGCATTTATCTGATTTAAATTAAAACCAGGGTAGGTTGCCTTTGGATACAAAAGAAAAAGCAAAAATTTATATATACATGTATATATATATATATATATATATATAGAGAGAGAGAGAGAGAGAGAGAGAGAGAGAGAGAGAGAGAGAACAAAAAGAAGAGAATTTTAATTTACCTGATCAGCTGATGAGGAGAAAAAGCAAAAGAAAAGTGAAAATGGAGAGCCTTTCCATGGTTTGCATGTAATCATATATAAATGTAAATGCCTGAGTAGGGGTTGTATTTAAATTGTGCAAAAACCTTCATAAGGAAAGAAAAAGGGGTTTTCTCCGTAAATGGCATGCCTACCATGAAAGAAATTTTAAATTGATTGGTGCTAATACTAATTGAATTATTTTCAATTAGAATATTTCTTCACTACAAATATTTAGATTTTTAGTAGCGTTTTTTTAACATTTAACGGGATTTATAAACGTCACTAAATGATTTGTGACGTTTGCAAAAAACATCAATCAGAGTGCTGGTTATACACGCGTCACAAAAAATAACAGTATTTTCAAAAAAACGTCACAATATTAACAGTGTTTGTATTTGAAAATATCGTTATTTTAACGGTATTTGTATCTGAAAATACTTTTATATTAGCGGTATTTATATCTTTGAGACTCCGCTAATTTAATGACATTTTTATGAGAAAAACACCGTTGTTTTGGTGGCATTTATATAAAAAAAATACTACTATTTTAACGACGTTTTTTAGTAAGAGTGTTGCTACTTTTAGTGGCGCTTTATAATACAAACGCTACTAAATTATTTATTTAGCGATATTCTTGAATGCAAACATCGTGAAATTAAAAAATGTATTTTTAAAATTTTTGTTAATATTTATTATTTTCATAATGAGCTTAAATTCAGAAACCGAAATTAATATAAACTTAATTCATATTCAAATATGAATATAATTAACACAAAGTTTAATAATTAGTATAATAACATTCAAATATTTTTAATACATTAACAAAATAAAAATTAAAATGTATGAAATTGATGACTGCATAGATTTTGAATGCTACTAATTGATGAAAAATTTTTTCAATCTTGGTCACTAGTGTGCTCAAGAACCTACTGAATAATACTATACAATTTTTAACACATCATTGTAAGCTTTTTTTATATTAAAAAATATAATATTTACTAAATATAATACCTGAATTGGTGGACTACCGAGATCAACTCCTGAAAATTGTTGTTGCACAAAATTCATAAAATGCTCGAATCGATCATACAATTACTGAAATTTTGCACGCTCTTACTCTATTCTAGCACGTTTTTCTTCAAATTTGGCACGCTTTTGTTCTTTTTTTGCTTCAATTTGCTGAAAATGTTGTTGCATAATTTGTAACTCTTCTCTCAATATTGAAATGTCTCGTGAAAACTGACTTGCTGAGAATGTAAATTATTGAGAGTCATGTCCATAATAGGTAGATGGTGTTGGACCCAATCCAAAGCCTCAAACCCGTCCATGCCTTTCTTTTTCAGCAACTTCTCTGAATATTCGACTTTTCAGTTCTTGCATATTGAGAGAACCATTAGATGCTACTTCAATCTCAGCAGCCATTTTCTCTTTCATTTTTTTCTGTAAATTTGTCATATATAACTATCAAGTTTAATGATTAATTGATAATATGTTAAAATAGTAAATATTTACTTTCTGTTAAAATAGATGTTATAAATTACCATAATTTTTTATGTTTCGATATTCATGTAAGATCTGTCTTTTTTATGTGTGTTAAGCGAAAAAGTTCTATACGTCTAGTTTTACCCGCCATCTCATTCTTCTATACAAAAACATATGTTATTTGATAAGATACATATCAATCGTAACTTATTCATGCATATCAAGCCTATCAATTAAGTATTAAAATTTTAAATAATTTAAATATCATGTATTTATATTTTGACCCCGTAACAACATAATAGTCTTAAACGAATGCAAATAATAAAAGCATTTTGGGCTTTCACACATATCGATCATGAAAATCAAATTTAATTATTTGGAAAATTTAATATCATGGATTGAAGCCATTCAATCTGTTGAAAGCCATCCAAAAGTTTAATTTATATATTTGCCTTTTATATGCAAAAATAATCTCAAATAGACATAAACGACAACTTTTTCTCCCATATCAACCATAAAAACCAAGTTCAATCAATTGGACAAGTTTAATATCAAGTATTGAAGTTATCCAATCTGTTAAAATACAACAATAACAACAAATGTGTATTTTTACCTAACTATACTTAAACAATAACTTTTTCATACATATCATCCTTGTCAACTAAGTTTAAAACTTTCGATAAGTTTAATATCATGTATTGAAACTATCAAAACTATTAAAATAGAACAATAACTGTTAATTTACATATTTACCTTTTAACGACATAAAAAGTTCATTCATTGGAATAAGTTTAAAATCATAAACTTACTATTTCTTTTTGCTTACTTGTAAAACTTTTTGATCCACTTGTGTGGCTATATTTTTGTTGCTTTCTGCTATCAATCCTAATCTGTCCTCTTTCTTGTCATAAAAAAAATAATTACGTATATGATAGAAATATAAATATTACCAACTTAAAGCATAAAACACTTTCATCAGTTCATTCTACTATATAAAGTTATAAATTAGTACTTCTCTTTTTCTTGAGAATCAAAATCTAATTAATTGTTCATATTGCCACCTAATCACATTACGGGATAGATTTTTCATCATCGTCTCTACAGTAGTATTTTGATCGAAATACTTATTCTTCAAATTATGCTTATAATATTTTCATTTCTTTCCCAATAACTTAAACACAAATGAAGTTTGTATTTGAAGTACAAATCTTGACTGTAATAATACAATAAAAAAGTTTGAATAAGTAAACAAAATGTAAAATAATTATATTTTTATATGTAATTAATTATACTAATACCTCAATAAAGTTTAAAGCATCAGCCTTAACTTCTTCTAGAACTTTATGTCATGTTTCATAATGAATAGGTAATTTCATTCCATTACAGGCAAACATGCCTAGAAATCCAGCTAATAGTTGAGCCTTTTCATCAATTGGTTGCCTATTAGAGTTTGCAAACATTACAATATGCTTGTTCGAAGGTAGTGCAAACAATTCCTTCAAAGTTATTCGGCCTCTAGTCCTCCGTTGACCATTGTTATCAATTACAACAAATAAAAAATAAATTTGTAAAATGACAATACTTTTATCATTATACTCAAATTCTACATATGGGGTATGTGATACCTATATTCAAATTTAAAGCATAATCAATTGATGGGATACTATCTAAACCTAGACCTCTCATATTACCATATCCAATATCAATTGAAGGGTTAGAAGTGACTGAGTTAGATCTGACAGTACATTCATTCCCCTCCAAAAGATTTAGTCTATAGCCAATATCAACAGGTACCGTAGACGGTTCTGAACTAATATCACTGATATGTATTCCTTTCAACCTACTTCTCTACATTGTAGCTTACCTACATCATAAAAGGTGAATATAGAAAAGATATTAGTTATAACATATATAAAGACATTGAGAAGTTAAAAAATCAAAACCTACAATATATAAAGAACATATCGATTTAATTAAATCAAAGGATAATGTATGATTTAGAATACAGTAAATATACAATAGTGAATGTGACTTTAATTACATACAATCATTTACTACATTATGTCTTAAACATTCAAATTACAAAATATAGATGCATCATTTCATGGTTCATAAATGTCTTCGGTAACATTTTCGTAGACCCACTAAGCGTAGGTACTGGAGATATTTTCATCTAAGTTTTGTTCAGCAAAAGGATAACATTCAGTTTCACATTCAACTCATCTCTAGTATCTAACCCCATATCAAATAAGTCTCTAGGTATGTTTTGAAGAACAATAAACCAACCTAATTCTTTAGGATCTTTAGAGTAAAAAACTTGTTTGACTTGAGATGAAAAAACATAAGATTCATTGATGAGTTGTTATCCAGTGTGAATTAATCGAAAAAAATTCACAAGTGTAAATCCATATTGATCTTTCTTAATACCTTTTGCACTATTCACATCAGCCCAATCATACTGAAATAAGATAACTTTTTACTTACTATAATAATCTAACTCAATGATGTCATTAATTATGCCATAATAGTTAACATTTTCCTCTAAAGGTTTTGTGTCCTTAACACTAGCATAGCTAATAATTGATGAAGTCACAATAACTCTTAAATTTTATATACTTCTAAATCTCTCATGGGATTTAGTGTGAAATCTAAATCTGTTGATGATGAAACCTTTGTATCATTTCACAATCTGATTCGGACCTTGTGAAAGACACTTTAGCTCTTCACTAACAAGCCTTCCACTCTAAACTTATAAAAGTGGAATAAATATATATATGTTATTAATGTTAGTTATACCGTAAGCATTATATGTAGATTTCTCATAATAGGAAGTATGGCATTACTTACAGTTGCTCCTAACCATTTATGAAAGTTTTCGACAAATAACTTATCAAGCTTTCGAGGGTTCGATCATCGATAATGTGCAGGAGCTCTCAAATTATTTCTATACTCACTAC